AATACTGGAAATAAAGTTAAAGATGGCAGCGTGTGGCCTACATATGGAGCAGAGTATGCACGGCTGTATTACACCTGAGCGCGGCCTGTGGACCCCGAATTTATTTCTCACAGTGTCTCCTAATTCCTTTTTTATTTTAAAGATTAAAAAAAAAAAAAGACATCAAGTGGGACTGGATGAGCTATATCCACACACACACACACACACACACACACACACACACACACACACACACACACACACACAGAGAGAGAGAGAGAGAGAGAGCGAGAGCGAGAGAGAGAGAGAAACGTGCACACAGGCCCTGCTGGTGTCATGCATGCAGAGTGCTGCTGTACCTCCGCAGCATTAAACATGCAGCCTGACTGATTTATGATGGAACCGACGACGCGCTTCCATTTACATATAGAGATTCCCCTGCGCGCTCCCCGAGTCCGAGCTGCACTACGGGCTTTGATCAATGTCCTGCCTTGACTTGGAGTGTGTGTGAGTGTGTGTGTGTGTGTGTGTGTGTGTGTGTGTGTGTGCGTGGTGTGTGTGTGTGTATATATATATATATATATTTGTATGGCGGAGGAAGAGGAGAAGGAGGAGGGAGAGAGGGGAGGAGATGGGAGGAAGAGAAAAGGGAAAAACATTCTTTGTTGTTAACAGATGGAGCGATGTGTAGGGAGAGGTCAAGGTTAGTGCACTCGGGTGTGTGTGTGTGTGTGTGTGTGTGTGTGTGTGTGTGTGTGTGTGTGTGGAGGGTGTAAATCGAGGGCCCCCTTTAAGTGTGGGTGCCAGTGGGTGAGGGCCCTTAAAATCAGCAGAACAACTTTTCTTATTCTCTCATATTCTCAACCGCGTCCTCTAGAAATTGCGTGTCTTTACAACTAAGTACGTTAAGAAGGAAACGTAATCTCTGCCTGGAGCGAACATGAAGCGCAGCGGCGGTGGTTTAGTCAAGGTTACACAAAGATGGCTGCGTCTGAAGTCTCTGTGAACTTTTTCTGAGAGTCTAAACAGAACCATAAAAAGTTGAATAAAGCTGGAGTCACTACATGTGAAGATTGTGCTGCAGGATCAGACACTTGTTTTTCTGTTCAGCGTCAACCAATTTTCGACTTTCCAAATGCGTAAAATTAACAACATATTCTCCTCTCATACCTGCAAAACGTATTTCCTGTTGCAGTTTATTTAAAAGTCATTTGTAGAAGCTGGGGTTGATATTATATCACCTTCCAATACACTATGTCGTGCGCGAAAAGGCTTCTGGGAGGGGGCGTAAAGGTTTTTGGGATCTTGGTGCCAAAGGATGTATTTAGCCTCCGAACACTCCGCCGGTGTCACCCAGCCTGTAAAGGGCTTCTCGTGTTACTGGATCAGGTTCAATGGGAGCGGTGGCCGCCTGTTGCCATCCAGACAGCAACGAGCCGCCCAGGACACCCGATGCCCGGGAGAGAAAGCCAAAATTCTCCCATTTATCCCCAGTTACGCTCTTTTTTTTTTTTTTTTAAGGGTCTCGTCCCTTTAGCTTTTCTCTTCATGGGCATCTTTTACGCGCGTCAGGATTAAAGGAGGAGAGGGGGGTATTTTTTTTTCTCCAGTCTCCATCACTGACAGCTTTCCAGCAGTTTTGTAGAATTAGTTTTCCTGACATCCGGCTGTAAATCTTGAAATCAGCACAGTCAGTCACTTCTCTTTACTCTTTATCTCGAGTGTCCAAGTAAAGGGAGAAAAAAAATCTACTCTAAACTTCCACATAACGTTCACCATCTGCGCCTTTTTGACGCTGACAGTGAAAAATATACTGTGCCACATTTCTTTAAAGCCGCGCTGAAGCCTCCTTTACTGCTGTAATTCTGTTTTAAAACATTTATCTCCCTCTGTCTAATTTCACATCGGATTCCCGCTCAGTAGTGGCTGCGCGCAAAGGGAATAAACTACACGGCCCGATAATAATAAAACTGTACATCCGGCCCTTTCACACACACACACACACACACACACACACACACACACACACACACACACACACACACACACACACACACACACACACACACATACAGGCTACTTCAAATGATTAGGTGGAATAATCCGCATTATCATTTTGAATCAGCTTTATGATTAAAAACACAGCAGATGAATGAAGTGTGACCCCGCCTCGCCACCACGTCCCTGCGTAAGATTACAGCCTTTTTTATTATTGTCATTAAATCAAACACATCTTTCTGCGCGGAGCGTTAAACCTGCCTGAACTTTGACACGCGGGCACAAACAGGATAACACCCCGTGCGGGATAATCGTCACGCACACGAACGCGCACGCACACCTGAACACACACTGTATGCACCGGTCCGTCTAGTAAGCCATGCAGCGAGTTGCAACCTGCAAAATATTTCACTCACTGGTCATGCATTTTTTCCTCCTTGACGTTGAACCTCCTCCTTCTCCACTCCTCCGGCTCCCCTCTCTCCCTTTCTCTCTTTCTCTCTTTCGCTCTGTCTCTCTCCCACTCCCCCACCCCCTCCTCCTCCTTTTTTTTCTGTGACTAGGTCCTCACCTCCCAACTACCCCCGCCCCCCCTCACCCACCACCACCCCCACCCCCTCGGTATTAAGTGCGCGTCCTCTTCGGTCAGTGTGAGTAGCTGCAGGTCTCCGAAGCGCTGCCAGAGTCGCCGCTGCCGCTGCCGCCGCTGCCGCTGCTCCTTCTCCGCGGGCTTCTACTCATGGAGCCGCCGCCACCTCCTCCTTCCTCTGCCGCTGCCGCCGGTGCCTGTTCGGTCGGATCTCTCCGTCTTTTCCACCTTATATCATCCCATCCCTTTCCCCCCTCACCTTGTCCACACAGCACCGCCACCAGTGGCTCTCGTCCTCCCCATTTCGCGCCGAGTCTCTCTGTTCTAAAAAGCCGGATTCGTGGCGCGGGCTGCGCTGCGCCTTCGCCGTTTTAAGCCCCGCGTCTTATATTACCAAACCCCCTTTATTACAAGAGTATTTACAATCTCTCCCCCCTCCTCCTCCTCCTCCTCTTCTTCTTCTTCTTCCTCCTCCTTCTCCTCCTCTCCACCCCACCCCACCACCACCATCAACACACCCTCCCCTGTACTGTATGCAGCTCGAACCTGAGGCACATCTGAAAGTTATTACATGGGGCGCTTATGGGCCCGCTCGCGCTCCCACGGTCTGCACTTTGGATTTCACGCAGACAGATACACAGACATACATACAGACAGACAGACAGACAGACAGACAGCAAGACAGAGGGGCTTTGAACCCTATAGTGCCTCATCTAAACTACCCCCCCCTCACTCACTCACTGTACACTGTACATCTCAACTATAGTACAGACAGTTCCACCTTGTTCACAGTGGAAATGTGTGAATTTTAATTCATGGCACAAAAGCTGGTGCACATGATTCATCCAGTTCCTTAAAAGCATAACAACAATGAAACATTTCCTTTAAGTTGGGATGAATTCATTGATTCTTTATATGATTTTCTGCCATATTAAACACATTTCTATCCCTTTGTGAAGTTTTCATGAATATAAGTAATTATACAGTATTTTGAAGTTCAGTCAAGCTCATGATCAGACCTAATAAAACATATTAAATATGTGTAAATACCGGATTAACAAACGACTATTTTTTAAAGACAATTCCAGGTGTTGCATATAATCATAAGATTCTATCTTTGTTTAACGGGGCCAGGATGTGATTATTATCTGTAAGCAGAGCACTACAGATCACTGTATGTGAGTGAAAGCACCCAGGTTATAGCCTGTGTCTATATATTTCTGTTGCTCGTTCAACCTGTCCGTCCTGTTCGCTGCAGCCGGATAGTTCGCTGCGAGCTCCTTGACAATTTAACACGTGCATCTCCTCTCTATCTCTTTAACAACGGAGCCTCTGTGAGCACGCGCTTTAAGGACACAAACAGAGACTAAAGCTACGCACACGCGTGTACGCGTGTTTCCAGGTGAGCCTCTGGCCGCAGCTTTGCGCGCTTTTCACAGGCTGCAAAAAAAAAGATAAAAAAAAGAGAGAAAGAAGCGGACAACACATGCACAGACTTAGTTCACACACACACACACACACAGATACACACACTTCTCCGGTTTGTAGTATATGCAGCGGTATTATATCCGCCCCCCTCCAGTGAGCTCCTGTCCGTGGCTTCCCTTGCCCTGTTTTGCGTCCACCTTTCTCTCTCTCTCTCTCTCTCTCTCTCTCTCTCTCTCTCTCTCTGTCTCTTTCTGCATATTGCTTTCATTAGACATCTCTGCCTCTCTCTCTCTCTCTCTCTCTCTCTCTCTCTCTCTCACACATTCACACACACACACACACACACACTCACACACACACACACACACACACACACACACACACTCCTCCCTCCCTCCAAGTGCCTCTTGTCCGGCCCCCCTGATCTCTGTGTCCATTGGCTTCCACCGTGTCTATTTCTCATGTCCCCCCCCCCCCCCCCCCCCCCCCCTCTCTCTCCCTCTCTCTCTCTCTCTCTCTCTCTCTCTCTCTCTCTCTAATGACCGTCCATTGGTGTTGTTATTGCGCGTCCCGGCCGTCCCTCCTCCCACTCCCACTCCCACTCGGGTGCCTCGGCCCTGCCCATGTTTTTGTATGTCGGGTGTCCGTCCATCGCCTGACGTTCAAGTTCGCCCGGAACGTCACGTCCGTGCACTTGAACTTGCACAGCTCAGAGGGGGGGGGGTGGGGGTGGAGGGGGGGTTGAGGGAGGGGTGGGGGGGGAGGGGGGGCTTTTGCCATTTTTTCCATCTCTCTCCCCTTCTCTCTCTCTCTCCATCCACCTCTCTCTCACTCTCTCTCTCTTTTTTCTCAGCTCTCCTTTCTCAAAAAAGCCATGACGGCGATCCCGCGATCCATCTTCGCCTCCGCGCCATCTTTGTATTATTTCTAATTTATTTTATTTTTTTTCCTTGTGGATGTCAAAGGCGTTGGATGAAGATATTTTTTGCCCCACCGGAGTCTCCTCTCTAACCCCGGCTCTCCCCGATGTGATCCGCGCTGAACGCCGCCGCCGCCAGCCACCATGTCTCGCCGCAAGCAAGGCAAACCCCAGCACTTAAGCAAACGGGATTTTTCGCGTAAGTAGTGATGAAAAAGAAAGAAAAGAAAATGTCATTTCTGGCTCCCTTTCAGTTCATTCAGCAAACCGGGGTGGGGGAGAGAAAAAAGCAGCAAAACAGGAGCTTGTGGACACCGGACGCACCGCTCGGACCCGCGGTCAACTGGACTTAAAAGCGTGAAGAGAAAGTGCGACACCCTCGTGCGTAAAAGCCGCTCGGATATCCCCCCTCCCCAAAAAAAAAGCCCGAAAGAGAGAGAAAAAGTTTTGTGTGTCGGTGTATACCGGCTACTGCCTCTCTGTTACACGGCCACAATGTGCATTCACAGGCTGTTAAATGCACTCGCTGTGGCTCCGGTGCCCCCACGGTCGCTCCGGTCAGTGGAAAACGCGCAGGGCTCCCGGTAGCAGAGCGCGTCCTCTCCGCGGAGGATTTCGTGGAGAAATCACCACCCGGAATATCGCTGTGTGATAGTTCTGCAGGCAGGTTTTCATCTGCTCTCTCGTTCTATTTTTGGATTATTTTCAGAAAAAAAAAAAAACTTGGAGGTGGATGTTTGGATCGAGGGGGGAAAAATCTCGTGCCCGAGTGTTTACAACTGCCTCCCTCTATCAGCAGCTCAGCGGCACAGACAACACAAATCGATTTATTTTACACACTTTTTTTTTTACAAAACCCTAATGCCTCTTATGTAAAGGCAGTTTTATTGATCAGTTTCGATGCTTTCTTCCTGAAACAGTCAGCAGAGTCTGTGCAGCTCAGAGTTAGAGACAAGAAACACAGCAACAGGACAAGCAGCATATCTAGTCCTGTGTTTGCTTATTTGTCTTCTAATGCAGCCAAATTTGGACAACAACAAAAAGAAAAAAAAAACAAGAAAAAAACAAAACAACTTAAGCTTCCATTGGGTTCATGTACAGTGAAGGTAAGAGACGGATATCAGGTAAATGTGTGGGTTGCAGCTGCAGCGTGTGAGGAAAAGCGACCAGTTTATTTGAGAATCCGTCTTTACGCACAGCGTTTATTTACCACTCTCAGGGTTGAGTTTTTTTTTTCTTTTCTTTTAAAGTTAACTGGATTTATTTAGAGGCATGAGTCGACAGCAGATGAGTGTGTCAGGAAACTGCGGGGCGATTGCCAAAGTAGCGTTTATCACCACACCATGTGCCACACTGTGCGCCACCTCGGAGTGTTTCAGCGGCTTCTCCAAGTGGCTCCAAAACATAAAACGGGAAGGTATTTGGGCATGTTTACGCATCGTTGCTTGACTATGTGTCGATATGTTGACTATAGCTGTCGCCTGTGTTTGGTTTGGAGAGAGAGAGGGAGAGAGAGAGAGAGAGAGTGTGTGTGTGTGTGTGTGTGTGTGTGTGTGGCAACGGCTGGGTGACAGCGCAAGTCACCATGGCCATGCGCCGTCGCTAGGAGGCAGAGCGCGATCAGAAAATCCAGCGCTGAACTTGAACCTGATCAGTTTCACCGCAGCCCTCCTCTACCTACACGGGCTACTATTCGGCGATCCCTTTAGAATAAAGGGAGAGTATACAAGACACAAGAAATAGAAAGGGGAGGGAGGGAGGAGGGGGGGGGGTATCTACAGTTCCTCTTTATCGCCTCAAACCCACTTTCTCTCCCTGTACCCCCCCTCCCCCCCTTTTTTTGTTCATCACATTCTACTTACAGGCTGCAATCAGCATATGCAGCCACACTGTAATATGCCTGCAGACCTCGCCTTTAACCCCCCCCCCCCAAACCTTACACCACACAAACACTCACACACACATTTCATTTTGCATATAGATTCACATTCGTTACCAGTGCAGCTCAGATTCCGGCCTGTCGCTCTCTAAGCAAACATCTAACCCGGATTATTATTTTTTTTAATTTTTTTTTTTTTTTTTAGCACCTGTACTTTCATTTTCTACCTCTCTCACAATTCTATATTTATATGATATTATTTAACAAATTCTACATTTGCTTTTCTAGCAACGTGATCCGGATGAATAGAAGCAGTAAAATGTAATAACTTCCTCCTCCACATTAAAATGATATTATCTGTTATTTTCCACATTTTGCCAAGATGGGAATTTATTTCAGTTAGTCTGTGTGGGGCAGTGACTTTAGTCCAGCTGATGAGTTTTCTAGCTGTGCTGGTTTTCATCAGACAGGTGGAACTTTTAACTTACAGTTTGGTAAAGGTTTTTTTTTTTTTTTTTTTTAATTGAGAGCACATTTTTACTTTCATTTTTCCTCCTTTAGGGAATGTGTCAGTATTGCTCTGATATGTGAATCCTTTAGCTGCACTGCAAATAGATTCAAATGGGAGATTTATATGTGTTCCAATTTTTTTTAATTTAAGATTTCTTTTAAACCTTTTTTCGGTCTCTCATCCTCCCACCTCATGCTCCATTAAATCCTACAAATTTTTTTTCAAAACCACCGGATATCCACTCTTGAGTTAAACTTTAGAAGTGAGGGGCTTATGCAGCTTTCATTAATTTCTTTTTCTCTCTTTCTTTCTTTCTTTCTTTCTTTTTTTTTTTGCTGTTTTATCCTGCGGATGTAATGCCCCATGTGTGGCATTGTGTTGACCTGAAGTTAAATCAAAGAGGAGAAGGGTAGGGGAGGGAGGGTGAGGAGGAGATTGGGTGTATATGTGTGTGTGTGTGTGTGTGTGTGTGTGTTGGTGCGAGCCAGGAATTTATCATGTTATCTCCATGTCCCAGTTCGTGCACAGATGTTGCGCAGGATTGCGGTGTTCAAATGATATTTCCTTGAGGGGATGTAGTCCAAATTCAGACCCTGTCTCTCCTTCTCTCTCTCTCTCTTTCCCCCCCTCTCTCTCTCTCTCTCTCTCTCTCTCTCTCTCTCTCTCACACACACACACACACACACACACTTGTACATTCCCATACACACTTTGTTACACATGCATGCACAGGAACCCTATCCCTTTTATCAGACAAAATCTGTACCAATCACCCAGACAGTGAAAATTAAAATCTATTTTTTGATTCTCAGTGGTTTTAAGTTCATTAAAATGTGAAATTGGCTGCTGAGTAAAGAAGGTCAACATGCATTAGGCGGCTAGCACAGAGTCAGACTCTTCACCTTGGACTGGAAGATTTTCTTTAAAAGAGGGACAGTGAATTATGTTCTCCCGTTTCACTCCTCTAATTCGGCGGGCCACTCTGTTCACACTCATCTCCCTCCACTGAGCTCGACAAAAGGCTTCTTAAAAAAGTAGTCAGGAGTTAATCCGGCCTCGGAGGGGTGAGGAATCGGGCTGAACGGCTCATTTTGGGGGTGATTTCCCGCTGTACAAGCAGCTGGTATCTAAGAACTGTAAGTGAGGCGCATGTAACAGAGACCGAGGGGAAGAGTTTTTCTTCTCCCTGACACACGCTCTCTCTGTGCCGCCTTGCCTCTTCCCTTCCCCTCTCCCCGGCACGTACAGCACTACAGTGTGTTGGACATGTTTGTGACAGTTTTCCCTGCTGCTGATTACAGGATCAAACCCTGTTCAAACAAGGCCAGCGAAGTGAAACTCCATATATTTAGTTTTCTGGACCGTCATTTTCAAAGTTTCCCCTGTCATTGGCTATGAAATTGTTATCTTTGAGGAATCTGATTTGAGATTTGCTGCTATTCAGGATATTATTTCCCACCATTTATTCTTATGATGTGTGATCCAGATCAGCTTGCATTGTAATCATTTCCCCTGCATTACATGCATTTCTATCATTACAAGGCACATTCCTCTCACCCCCTTATTGTGTGCACCACATGGCAGGCTTTTATTTAGCCTAGCCTCTTTAACTCTGATCCTCTATGTGACAGGACGACAGAGAATCTGTGGACTCTTCCTTGTCATCAATTCCCTCAAATAGTTGTATCAATAGTTTTAAATTACAAGAGAGAAAATGAAAAATATAAACATGTGGTTGTTGCTTTTCTGCTGAGATGAAGTGTCACCTTCTAATTTACTCTTTTCTGCTCACTCTCCCTCTTTCCTCCCACCCTCCCATCTTCTTCTTCTCTCTTCCTCTGTGCGTGTTCCCCCCCTCTGCCTCGCCAGCAGCCGAGCCCCTCTCCACGGCCGTCGTCTCGTCGGAGGAGCTGTCGGAGCGCTGCTCGGAGCACTCGGAGGAGAGTGGCAGCCTCAACGGGCACCGCCCGGGCTCGACCGTGGGCCGGCTGGCCCGGCTGGGTCACGACGCTCACCCCTCTCTGGAGCAGGACCTCCTGACCTGCGGCCAGTGCCAGGCCACCTTCCCCCTGGCGGACATCCTGCTCTTCATCGAGCACAAGAGGAAGAGATGCCACGGGCCGCCGTGCCTGGCCGTGGGCCGGGGGCTGGACAAGCCACCCTCGCCCTCCCCCGGCCTGGCCCTCACCCCGTCCCCTGCCCTGGGTTCCCTGCGCAGTCGGAGGCCCGTGGAAGTGGGCGTCCAGGCCACGCTGGCAGACGACGACGATGACCGGCTCTCGTCGCCCCGGGGGATTTGCCCCAAACAGGAGCCCCTCCCAGGTAATCACACCGCTTTCACAGCAGCAAGCAGAACACACATCACCTTCGGCTGGATTTCCACCACAGCTGCTGCAGCGCTTTGAACTAAAACAAAGAACAGCAGCTTCACTGAAGCTCGGCTTGTCAGATCATCTCTCTAAGATGTATATCTGCTTGTGTGGGGTAAATTCAGATTAGAATCTGACACAACAAAGAAAACAGACGATGAGTATAGCTCACTCTTTCCCTTAAACATTCTCTGAAACGTCACTTGTCGGTGCAGAAGCTTGGGAGCAGCTTTCAGGCTCCAGATTCTCCTTTTCTAATCAGCACGTTGTGATTTGGGTTGTGTGTGTTTATGTATTACCCTGGATGGCTGAACCTTTGTGGGTGTGTGTGTGTGTGTGTGTGTGTGTGTTTTCTGCACTGTCAGGTCTAGTTTTTGTATCATTGATGCATTGTCTGCGTGTGTGTGTGTCGTGGTACCACAACTCAGCTTAGTCTCTTGCCTCTGAATTCTCCACCATACCTCCAGACCTTGTGGAGACTGTAGTGGTCTGAGCATGAGGTTTTTTTTTTTTTTTGAGGGATGGGTTGTCTGCACTCATGCCAGTCCTGGTTAAGGCAGGAAATCTGATTGGCTGAGTATTTGCGTAGGGGTGGGTGTTGTCAGACAAACAACAACAGAGGGACGTCACAGGTGGGGAGGAAACCCACGAGAATACGCCTCTGTTCTCTCTCACAGATGACACAAAAGCACGCATACTGGTTTGATTTAGGATGGCTTTCTCTCTCTGTCTGCGTGTGTGTGTGTGTGTGTGTGTGTGTGTGTGTGTGTGTGAGTGTGTGAGTGTGCATTGTCTTTTGTTTTCACCGACTAGTGTAGAAGTGGAGTGTGTGTGTGTGTGAGACAGAGCGTAAGACAATGAAATGGATCTTATCATCCCAAGTCTGACCAGCTGTCCTTGCACTGATCCACTGAATTCAATGCAGAAATGGTGTGTGAGGGAATGTGTATGTGTGTGTGTCTGTGTGTGTGTGTGTGTGTGTGTGTGCACGTGCACGCGTGTGTTTTCCCAGTTTGCCCATTTTGCCCATTTCGACCATAGTGACCAAATCCCACAGGCGAAGAGACATGGGTGACCTTGACTTTGTGGTACCACTGGTCAGTGTATTACTGCAGTTTTGAGGTGTGTGTATGTGTGTGTGTGTGTGTGTGTGTGTGTGTGTGTGTGTGTGTGTGTGCCAAGGGGGATCATTGGTTGAACTGGTTGCAGCGGTGTATTTGTGTGTGACTTTCAGTCTGGGGAGTAACTGCAGCCTCTTTCTGGGATTGGGTGCACAGAATGTGTGTTCTTGCAAAACGTCTGTGTGTGTGTGTGTGTGTGTGTGTGTGTGCGTCTGTGTGTGTGTGCGTGCGCGCGCCTCCCTCTCATGTGGCCCTAGCAGATGTGTCCTGCTCTCGGTGTGGTTTCTCCCCTTCCACTGCCACATCTTACCCGACTAAATGCAGCCCAGCTCTCCCATCTCTTTCATTCCTCTCCCTCTCTTGAGTTTACCTTCATACAGAACTTCATAGGGAAAATACATGATTTTACCTCCAGTTTTTATTCCTCCGTCTCCGTTCCCAGTGCAGGAATCAAATGAGAGGCGAGAGGCGAGAGAGGGAGAAGCCAGTTTTAGTTTTGCTCATAGAGGGAAAGTCGTTTATTTAAAGCGTCTTAACACCACTAATTATTTGTTGCAGTGCCATTCTTTTTTCTTCCTTGTGAATTTTAATTAGCAGTAGTTTTTAGTGGCGGGCTGCCTGTACTAAATTAGCTGTTACAGAGAGAGAGAGAGAGAGAGAGAGAGAGAGAGAGAGAGAGAGAGCGAGAGAGAGCGAGAGGAAAAAGGGGGTGAAGATGAAATGGAGCAGCAGAAACACACAAGCAAAATACACTATTTATCACTTTGCTCGTTGAACGCAGCTCAGGAATCCTAAATGTTGTAGTTTGTTTTCCGTTTTGTCATTTCTCTGTTTGTGTGTGTGTGTGTGTGTGTGTGTGTGTGTGTGTGTGTGAGGAAATAAGCACAATAAGCTGCTGAAGGCGTCGCTGGTCATTTCTGGTAACCGATTTCAGTCGCCATTGTTACAATTTACAACTACAGGAAGTTAAGATGAGGAAAATTGCTCGGCAATTAAAGTTGTTCTTGACCTTTGACCTTTGTCTCCAGGGTGCTGGAGACAGATCATCCTACTGTATGTCAGCTGGAAGGAGTTAATGCAACATGAGAGTGTGTGTCTGCATTTTTTTCTTTAAAGTCAAACCTGACTTGTCTCTCTGCAGCAACTATATGTTTCAACACACTCACACACACACACACACACACACACACACAAACTATACGCTCACCAGCTAAACTGGGTTATTAGAGCGATTTACATCATAATACAGGCGTCTGGCTGCTTCAATAGCGTTGTGTGTGGGAACGTCTTGGTAGGAACAGCTGTACACTCAGACAGCAGGAGAAAACAGGACAGCAGCGTTATATATCTTGTCTGATGTGGATGTCAAGCTGAACAGCAGACACACCGAGCATTATTAAATGTTTGCTGTTTTGGAAATTTGAAAAAAAAAGAAGAAGAAAAAAAAAGAAAGATTTTAAACCGTCCATCTGCACAAGGAATTCCTGGTTTTATTTATGCCTGTCTTCTTTAATTGATGATCTCTCAGCCACTGGACGCACACCAGCACAAACAACCACCTCACTGGCTGAATTTTACGCAGCGCATTCATCCTGATAGCTGATAATTAAAGCCAGTATTCCCCCCCCCCCCCCCCCCCCCCCCCCCCCCCCCCCCCCCTCCCCCCCCCCCCCC